TTTAAACTCAGAATATCTGAATTTACAACTCATATTTATTATCACTTGAACTATCTTAAGATCAGTCTCTTGCTTTTATACATCATGTCATCTTAGACACAAGTTTAAAGTATTAAAACCGCATACTTGTTTCACTAATGCAATAGAAATTGCAAAGCATTATGTATATTTTGTATTATATTTGTTCACTTTCACGAGTCTAGACAAATCAAACAAGTCATAACTCTAACTAGGAGTGTCCATGGACCGAGCTTGGTTCACGAAATTTTTTTAGGTTAAACCTGGGTAGAATAAGCTTAAACCTTTACTCAGGTGAGTAATCGAACGGATTAGGTCAGACTTTGGATAAAGGTAGGCAATGCACAAACCAACCCGTCACTCACTGGGTGGGTGTATTGGTGCTGACCTATGGGCTTGTTGGATGGGCGTACTAGACGGTTTTTTATATTCAACTTCATTTAGAAATAATTAATATTTTTGAATTAAAAGTATGTTTATGAAAAAAAAAAAAGAATACATTATTTATAAAATCTAAATTTCTAAAACTTTGAATTCTGGTATTGAGAACTTATTTACACGTATTGACTAGGCTGGGGCAGGCAGACTCTTGGGCCGGATTTTAATAGACTTTTTTTGGACGGGTTTTGACCCAAATAATGGGTTAGGAGGTAGGTCCAAACCCTCTTTTGAAGGATATTGGACTCAGATTAGAACTGATCAACTATCAGGCTTATCAAATTTTAGACCTATTTTTTTTAGACCGGGTAACGAGACCCATGGGCTGTCTGGCCCATGAACAGCCCTAACTCGAGCTTTTCTCGCTTGTTAATAAGGTTGAAGTTTAGTTTAATTAAATAAAATATAATCTGAAGTCATCCCAAATTGTTCACGTCTAAAATAGTCCAATTGGTGTGGAGAAAAAATGGGTTGGCGGAAAACAAATGGATGAAAAATGAGATGAAAAATAGTCATCATTCAATTTTTTTAATCCGTCCAAATTCGGGCGAAAAAATTGAATGGAAATGTGGACAACATTGTGTTATTATATACACCTTCATGCCTTATGGGTGGCAGCTTGTCTTACACTTTTTAAAAAACAAATTGTACTTTGTTTTAAATTTTTATCTTAAGAAAGAAAACAATAAAAAAAAAAAGTCATCTATAGTAGAGAGAGAGAGAGAGAGGTTTTTCTTTCCTCTAACACTAAAAAATCAATACATACATTTTTTTGCATTGTACCTATTTTGTTATCCTTTCCACCAAAAAACATTGTTATTGTCAGCATAAATGTTTCTTCTAGTTGTTTTCTATTAAATTGTAGAGTTGTTTCGCACTTATGTGTTCGAACATCTCTGATCATTGAAGAGAAAAAAAAAAACAAAAAAGGCCGACAGGGTTGTTGGAAGGGGAAAAAGGAGCATAAAAAAGCATGAAAAAATGAGCCAAAAAGAGCCATTAACCATGACAAAAGTAAATAAGTTGGGCACCCTGCACAAGAACATAAAAAGTTGCAATTTTCAACTAATATTTTTGACATTCAACTTCAAAAGAGAGGGTTGGTCAATGCATATTGACCTTGATTACCCAACCCAGCACATTATTTCTACCATTGTTACTCTTCAAACGAGCTTTATTAAACATTATATTACTAACTAACTATATAGGATACGGTGGTATCCAATTAGACATGCATCCATTATTCATGATTAGGCCCACAATGAGTGCTAATATTAATATAAGCTTCTGTTGACCAGCATCCGAGGCATCTTCAAGAGTTCATCTTATCTGCACCCAAGAAACATTAAGAACCCAATTACTAGAGAAATTGTTTCATATTAAGTCGGGCGAATTGCACTTTACACTATGAAAGATTTTAAATTTTATTTTTCATCTTCAAAAATTAAATTTTTCATGTTGTACTTTCCATATATTAAAAATATTACAATACGACCATTCTGTTAATTTCTCGGTCAGGGTTAATGGGTTGACTTTTGACCAAAAAAATAAGGAAAATTAACAAAATTGTCATATTATAATACTTTTAATACATTGAAGGTACAATATGAAAAATTTAATTTTTAAAAATATAAAATAAAAAATTTTGAAATCTTCCCGTATACAAAGTGCGAAAAATCCTATTATGTCCAACAAAGTGCAGCTAATCGACAAAGTGCCTAGGTTTTATTCTTTTGTGCCTTAAAGGTAATTTGTTTTGTACCCTTCTTGGGTTGGTTTACCTTTTAGAATCAGGGGGATTGAGGGTTTTTTTATTTATAAATTGGAGTGCATTCATTCAATTCTCTTGTTTGTTGTGGGGCTGTTTTTCTATTTTTGATTTTGAAAGTTCAGCCTACTTTTAGGATGCACAAATCTTTCAAATGGTGATAAGGGAATGTGTGTCTATTTCATCCTAGAGATACTTCAAAGTTTAGTATTTTTTGCGGTCGTAATTCGTCGTTTTGTTATAAACTTATCATTATTACAATTCTATGGAAATCCAACTAAACAAAAATTTATATTGGAAGGCCGACAAATTCATCTTAAAATAGCTATCGTGTTTTGAATTATAGATTTCATCTTTTTCATCGTTATTATGAAATGCACTTCTAACAAGTGTTTAGTCTTGGACTGCAGTTGAAGGAGGTTTTTTTTTTTACAATTTGCTCTTCATATTACTACAAGAGTAAACTCTGGGACATAGACTTGGCCATATGCACTCTTGGCATAAGATAGCCACTCTCGAATTCAAACCTACAAACTCATAGTTATCTATCCTATCCCATCCTTTCACTCCAACACCAACTCTCAGATATGCGAATATTTGGCACATCAATAACTAATGGTTACGTGAAATTATCTAACAAACTTGTTATCCGAATGATCAAATTAATCAAGAATCGAATCAGAATCCAAATCAAAAAGATGTATGTTATCATCCGTTTTCAATCTCCATCGTTCCATTCATTATAATGTGAATTTTGCAGACTTACCCTTGTCAGTTGAAGTTGAACCTTCCAGTGGTTGCTCAGTCACCATCTCAGACGAAACAACCACCCCTGGCCAAGGGCGACACATGCAGTGCTTCCCTTTCTCAATGCCGGCAAAGAGTGTGGTAAGGTGCTTCCCGCACCCACGCCACGATGTCTTCCCGCATTGCTTGCACTCCACCCTTGAGCACATCCTTTTTTGGAATTCTTTGTCTCAAAGGAAGATGAATATTTGATACAGCCTCACATCTCCTACCCACTTCAGTTTTGTAGCATCACAGTTCTCTTGATTCTGTCGACCTTTGTGCTCTATGCAAACATCATGTGCAAACAATGAAACTACTTGGTATACTTCGCTTTACATAGTAAACCCCACCCACCAAATGTTCTTTTAGAGGGGCTCTATTCGCTTTATAAAATATGATCCAAACTCGATCCGTTAACAAGCCTAACTCCAATACCTTGTTGGCCACAAAGTCCGAGGCTGCTGCTTAATAGTAAACAATTTGCATCTCTGTGACAATCAATAGGAATCGACCCTTTAGATTTCTTTAATAAGTCACCATATAAACACTAGTTATTATGGTGATTGGTTTCAAGGAGGATCAATTAAAGTTAAGTTTTGTCAATAGAAAGTTGTCTCCTCAATCACTTGTCTTGTAATCGGTTATTACAAAGAAAACTAAAGATGTACTTAACTATTCACACATCATGTGCAATGGGTAAGTGTAAACATGACAATCGAGTTGTACTGTGTTGTATTCGAATTGTGTCATTTCGACTTCTATCAAATGTTTATTAACTCTAACTCGACTTTATTTAATTGTCTCAAATTGTTTAACACTAACTCATTATATTCATCAATCGCTTGCGTTTAAATTAAAACGAATAGCACGTGAACCAAAATCCATAATTAATACCCCTACCTCCTCCACTCGGAGTTTCCATAAATCAAAATTTTGATCATTTGTCATGTCAAAAATGAGTTAATCATACTCGACATTAACTTGAGTTGCTTATTAATAATAGTTAATTAGGTTATTCTCAATTTCATGTCAAAAACTACTCAACCCCAATGGCTAATTTTGTGTTGGATTCATGTCACGTTAACTTACTGTCTTGAAAATTGTCACCATTTGCTAAAAACTAAAATCTTCTTACTGGACTCTTATGACCCTGAGGTGTTGACACATGAAACTTCTCTTCCCCTGTGGGTTAAGGCCATCTATGTAATGTAACAGCTGATAGTTATAAAGTCCAACTTAAATTTATGATTGCCATACCAGACAATACATATATCCCTTTGGCAATCCACCTCATGTTCAACTCCATTATTATTATGAGGAATCAAGCTTAAGAGCAATTTCAGAAACACAAGTTCACCCAATACAAAATTCTAGTTACTGTTCAGTCCCCGAATCACCCTAGGAACTGCTGGGGGTTTCAGAATTATGGAAGTGTTTCGGACCTTGGAGCTCAACGGTTTTATAGAATCATATCATGGTTTTTCAAAGGTAATATCCTATTAAATGTGAGCAGTGTAGTTAACAACCATGTCCATACAACCAACTACTATGCAACAGTTAACATACAACAGGCAATCCAAATAAAAATACCGCTCTAATGTTATAAAGCTCGATGATGACGGGAAGCTCATATGGGAGAATGAGGCACCAAATTCTGACGTACTTGGTAATTTGGACTCCAAACTCGTAATCATTTCGCAGATTTATCATCCCAAAATCTCGGTGTCAGGTAGCTCTCGTGTTTCCAAACAGAACTACAAATAAAAACCTTCAAGAGGAATTGCCATTTCCTTTGTTTGGTGGTGAATCCAATGCAGGCTTTTTATTTGCGCTGGATTCTGCTGTGCCCGAGTTCATCAACACTCGCTTGACTCCTCTACCCACCACCCCAAGATGTGTTACTACTCCAGCAGCAGCCCCAATTGTGTGAGCAGTTGAAACAGTTGGAGATTCAAAACCTCCACTGCTGCTAGCTGTAGCCATCTGCGAAGAGCTCATTACTGACGAAGCAGCACTCTTCTCAGCGCCTCTTACCTTAGCAGACATCATTCCAAGGATATCTGAGAGGATTGATGTTGGGTTTGAGACAAGCTGTTCGAGATCTTCAAGCTGCAAATCCAAAGAAAAACAAATTTACAAAGCAGAGTAGAAGTACCTAGTGACATAATATAAAACAGTTAGTCACACTCGCCTTCTTTTCCAGATCACCAGAGAGGCCAGTGAGTGTTTGAATCTCAGCTTCTTTATCTGCAACAGAATCTCCAGATTGGAGCACACTAGAAGAGTGCTGCACAATTGGGTCCGACTCAGAAACAGCTGATGTTGCTGTTGATCCTGACACATTTTTTACTTCATTCATGAGCCGCTGCACCCGAGACTTGCAAACTGCAATAGCCCTTTGACAATAAGGAATTGCATCCTGAGCTTTCGAACCAATTTCCAAGCACAAACATACCCTGAAATTTCTGTATTCTCCTGTTAAGGTGGTGACTTAGAAGACATAAAGGAGAATAAATAATGTATTCCAACTAATAGTTATATCAAACCCAGGTTTACTAATTCTCTCAAAAGGTAATATTTCAGTGTCATTTCGGCATCACCTCAAAATAAGAAAGGAGTTCAACCTTACAAAGGATACAGTTCAGCTATCTGTCTGCTGTCTGGCTCAACCAAGCGCTCCAAAATGGATAGAGCTTTCAGGTAATCACTGAGGGAGGTTTCAACATCCTCTGTACACAGCAAAACAAAGGAAAATTACACCAACCAGAGGAATATCTCAGCACAATTGAGTGTAAAAGTCTCACAAAATCCTTATTTAACACATACTAAGAATCTCAATTCAGACAAAAGAAACAGACCTCTTTCCAAAGCAACCTCCGCCAAAGCTGACAATATATCTACTTTCTCCATGGTGTCACCGGAGTGTTTCTCGACAATTGCTCTCGCAACATCTAGCATTTTCCATGCCAAATCCAGGTCAGATTCATCCTCATCTCCTTCAGCCAGATCCTCATCATCACTTTCCTCTTCATCTTCTTCCCCATCTTTTTCACCCAGAACTATCTCCAATAAAAAAAAAGTTAAAAAAAACGTAAATAAAATCCATTTGTGCATACTGTAAATACTCAAGATGCATGCATTCCATATACTAGGCTATCAATGGACACATAGCACAATTCTCAGGGTTCTTAACCAACCATTCCAGAATTTCAAAATTCCCAACATAGGTCTCAGTTGCTAAATAAAATAAAAGAACAGAAATCCCACCAACTGTTGAAATCTTTCCCCTTTCAGATAATTCCAATTGCACTCATCTACTTCTTGGCATGTAATAGTTGTCCTGAGTGACCAAGCAGCAGTACAGGAATGTGCTCGTTTGGTGGGCCAGAGAGTGGAAAAATTGATTGTCTGCTATGCATTAGCAACATGAAGAGCGGGCTCATTTGCCAGCCTTTGAACCAATCATTAGTGTCAAAGGATTCCTTACACCTTTTTGATGAGAAACGATATCTTATATCACATTCGCAAGAAAAGACGCCCACATAAGTCCATACTTAAGCCTACTCGACAGACCCAAGAACTTGGAGCTATTATAGAGGTTGATAAATTAAAGCTACAAAAACATGAAAACTAATGCTATACGGGTTCAAAACTAATCTTTGAAGCTTACAGAGACCTATCAACTTTACATTTTAAAAATGATTTTGTAGCACCATGGTCACTTTCAGATTATTCAAACTCCAGATGGTTGTCCATTGTCGCACATCACTTTAAATGCTTGTAAAGAATCACTTTGTGTTTCCACATAAATTATACTAAATGGACCCGAGAAAAACAAAACTAGAGTCTCCCACACACACAGACTAGTTACTATACTGCCAGATCACTATTCCTCAATGAGTCTTGAAATTCATTCTTTACACCTAAGAATCAAACTGAACCAACGTTAAATATGTTCCGTAGCACCCTCCATTTACCACAACATACGTTCAAAAGGCAACAAAGAATGAACTTCACAAAAGAAAATCAGGAAATATTCTTTCTGGTTTGCACAAGGCATGCAATTTTCAAGTGAAATAGTTCTTAACTTCTTCCCTAAATCACATAAAAGGTGAAAAAAAATCTGAGGGAAAAGACAATACTGGACTCTCACTTTTGACTTATTAATTAAGATTTAATGGACCAAAACACAGATTAAGCATTCATTTTTTGCATTCATTTTTTGGCGACAAAGGAGGATCTTGCTGAACATTTTTGACAGGTGTGGGCTCCATCGCCCGTGTTTGGGCTTCGAAAGTAGCATGCACAAGGTAAAGCAAGTCAGGTAACCTGTGGTATGTATGACTATATGAATTGGCCAACACAATCTCAAATGCATACGGTACTCTATTTTTGCTAAAAAGAAGATATTACCCAACATCCTCAATGACGAAAAAGGGCAAGCGTTAGAGAAATACTGGAAAAAATGAGGTCCAATTTTAGAAACACATTAATTTGTTGCACGCGAATCAACTCAAAAAAGTAAATTTAGCCATCCATTCATATAGAAAGATAAAGGCATTTCACTTTAATGATGTAGATGATGCTTTAATACATCAATTTGCATATACTAATAAAATGAGCATAAGCTATACACAGTGTTAAGTTTAGAGGATTAACACAATATTAGAGAGAAACAGAGAAGTTAAAAACTTAACCTAACTCTCATACATCACTTGTATTTATAGTTAACTCACAATAATAAGAATTACACATAATACCCTAACACTATTAACAATTTACACATACTACCCTAATACTCTTAACATTCCCCCTGAAGCTAAACTATATATATCATATAATCCCAACATGAAATAAATAGCTGTAAAACGTGTACGACTCAATGCTTTGGTAAACATATCTGCAAGCTGATCTTCAGATTTCACAAATGGAGTCGTAATCTCCCCAGCTACTATCTTGTCCCGAATGAAGTGACAATCAACCTCAATATGTTTGGTTCTTTCGTGAAACACAGGATTGACAGCGATATGGATAGTTATCTGGTCGTCACAGAACAATTGTAAAGGAAGTTGAATTGGAAACTCAATTTTCTGGAGGAAGTGTAGTAGTCAAGTCAACTCACTCGTAGTATGTGTCATTGCCCTATACTCGGCCCCATCACTGGATTTTGCTACCACGGATTGTTTCTTACTTTTTCATGAGACAACATTACCTCCTAAGAAAGTACAATAACCAGTGGTTGATCTCCGATCAGAAAGAGAGTCAGCCCAATCAGCATCTGAGAAACCTTTCACTCTAAGATGTTCATTAGCTCGATATAACAGTCCAAGTCCAGTAACTCGTTTGAGATATTGCAAAATACGAGTAACTATCTCCCAATGTGGTACTCTAAGACACCCCATGAAGTGACTTACTATACTGACTGCATAGGAAATATCCGATCGAGTAATAGTAAGATAATTAATCTTTTCGACCAATCTGCGATACCAACCCGGATTCTCAAACAATGCACCATCATCCATCAATAATTTTTGATTCGGATCCATAGAAACATCAATCGGTCTACCTCCCAACAAAGCTGTTTCCCCAAGCATGTCAAGTACATATTTCTTCTGGGATAAACAAATACCCTGTTTAGATCGAGTCACCTCAATACCCAAGAAATACCTGAATTTTCTCAAATTTTTAGTATGAAATCGATCCTGTAAGAATATTTTTAACTTGGCAATCCCCTCAGAATCATTCCTAATAATCACAATATTATCTACATAGACCACCAATAGGACATATCCAGCATCTGTCTGTCTATAAAACACAAAATGATCTGTCTGACATCGAAGAAGACCAAACTCTAAAACTACATAAGAAAACTTACCAAACCATGCCCTAGGTGACTGCTTCAAATCATACAAAAATTTCTTTAACCGACATACACTCTTCCCATACTCCCCCTGAGCAATAAACCCAGATAGCTGCTCCATGTATACCTCTTCAACCAAGTCACCATGTAGGAAGGCATTCTTGATGTCTAACTAAAACAAGGGTCAATCAAGATTAGCAACCAAAGAGATAAAGATACGAACAGAGGAAACTTTGACAACAGGAGAAAAAGTCTCCTCATAATCAACATCATAAGTCTGAGTAAAACCCTTTGCAACAAGTCTGGCTTTGAGATGCTCTACAAAACCATCTGGATGAAATTTAACAGTATACACCCAACGACAGCCAACATATCGTTTACCAGGGGATAAAGGAACGAGATCACAAGTCCCATTATGATGTAAAGCATCCATCTCCTCCTCCATAGCTTTCCTCCAACCCAAATCAGATAAGGCATCTTGTAAATGCTTAAGAATAGATATAGCAGATAATTGGGAAGTAAAACAAGAGAAGACAGGAGACAGGGCATCATATGAAACAAAATGAGAAATGAGATGATTAGTAACACACGAACGAGTACCTTTGCGATAAGCAAAAGGTAAAGAGTCTAAATTACCTGATGTACCAGAATCAGAAGGCGGCAAAGAAGACGGTACGGACACCTCAGTCAATGGGCGAGGACGGCGAGAGTAGACACGAGAGGTAAAGTAGACGTAACACAGTAGGCAGCAAAATGTCTGAAGATGAGGAAAGAGATGATGGTACAGGAGATGATCCAAAGTCCAGATCCAAAGGCTGAGAAAGTGCTAAAAAGTATGGAATAGATTCTTCAAACGTGACATCGGCACTAGTAAAGTAACGGTGCATAGAAGGACTGTAACAACAATATCCTTTCTGCGTGTGGGAGTAACCAAGAAATACACATTTGGTAGCTCGAGGGTCAAGTTTGTCAAACCCATGACCCAAATTGTGAACATAACAGACACATCCAAAAATCTTAGGAGTCAAAGAAAATAAGGACTTACTAGGAAAAAGGACAAAATATAGACTTTGCCTATTTAACACAGAGGATGATATACGATTAATAAGATAACAAGCAGTAAGAACAGCATCACTCCAAAAATATCGTAGAATATTCATCTGAAATAACAGGACACAGGTGACTTCCAACAAATGACGATTCTTGCGTTCAGTAACAACATTTTATGGAGAGGTGTAAGCACAAGAAGT